GTTTTTTTTTTTTTGTTTGTTTTCGTATTTTTATTTTTGGGGACTTATTACATGACATACACCAAAATATACTTCACATATACTAAAATTTGTAACAGATGCAGAAAGCCAGTGACAAAGTGTATAAGGAGATAGCTGACGAAAAAACCTTTATAGTGGACACAGAGTCAAAGTCCTGCACATGCCACCACTTTCAAGTTGATGAGCTGCCGTGCCCGCACGCTATGCGTGTTATAAAGTCACTCCACCTCGATCCGGTTCCATTCTGTTCTGTGTACTACCTAAACTCTACAATGTTGACAACTTATGAGGATGTTGTTATACCAATTGAAGGAAATATTGCATGTACGAGTGAAGCACAATCCGACCGCACTTTGATAAGTCCCCCAAATGCACGAGTTAGGCCAGGGCGGCCACGCAAGCAGCGAGTAAAGTCAGGGTGGGAGCATAGGTCAAAAAATAGATGCAACAAGTGTAATGAGAAAGGGCACAATGTGAAGACTTGTAGGAATCCGAAAAGATGATAGTCCAAACATTGTTATGTATAATTTGAATCGTAGCTATTCCATTATTCCGGATATTATATTTTTGTGTTCTATTAATATGCAATGTTAAGTTTCACTATTCTGTTATATTATGCGTGAGTATAAAGCATAAAGATGCACTAAATATTATTTTACGGGTATATTTCTGTTATATTATGGGTATATTTCCGTAACTTCAGGCAATCTCAGGTTGATGTACATTAAAATATACTCATATTAACTGAAAAAAAAAAGGACAAAAACAATTTAACTTAGCTGTCAAAAATTATTATCAACAGAGAAAAAGTTACCTCAGATATAACCAACATATACCAAACATATAACGAATGCCTATTTTAAAAATATATAAAAATAAACCATCAGATAGTATAATTAGTTGGTAATATAAAAGACTAAGACAATATAATTTTCACTATTGTTGGAAAATATGGAATATAAGCTGAATGTGCATTTTCTAACATAAAATATTCCAAAAAATATGAAAAAGGAAAATAACAAAAAAACAATGCATATACTAGAGATATAAAAAAAATAAACCATGCAATAATATATGTTCAAGCAATGTAAATCTTCATACACATTGTTTTCGAACACAAAACAGAAACAAAAAAACACACAAAATAACATCTGGAACGTACACCCCGAAAAAAAAAGAGTGAGAGATGATCTATGATTTATGCGGAACATTCAGAAAGCCAAAACGAACTTCATCAGGCAAGGTACCGAGTGATTCATCGTCACTCTCATACCCATTAGTCTGTTTCATTAGACCATGAGAGTATAGCAGATATCCATATCTATGCCTCTGGACAGTAGCATCAATCTTCAATTTGGTAATGTCATGACCGACAATGAAATACTCGGCAAATGATGCAACATATATCCCGCAGTCGCTGCCAAGAATAGTAATAATTAAATCTAAATTTTAACAACTATAAGATCGAATTGCTAAATAAAAGTAGTTAAAACGAAATTGGCAAATAAACATAATTGAGTTCATTTAGGTTACCTATTTAGCTGCTGGGGGACATTATCCACCATAACAACCTCAAGTGGACCGTGCACTGCTTTCTTGGGAAACCTCACCAAGTCAAGGAAAATGGGGATAAGATCAACGTACACCTTCACATTCTCCATAACAAGATTATCACAATCTTGTGTGCGAATTGAATTGTAGATTCAAAGTTTCATATCATCAAATGACAAGAGACCCATAATACAATGACCGACATTATTTATTTCCAAATGAATCAAAAATATGACATGATCAACCTTAAACCAGGAAAGTTCACATATAATCTTATATCCCGTGATGTAGTCAACGGTCATGTCGTCTATCGTGCATACAGAAAGGTTACGAGATCGAGACAAAAAAGACGTGTACAATGACTTGATGTGTTGGTCGAACAACACATCTGTCGTTGTGTACCTGACTGCGGCGCTCCCATATAGGACAAACTTCCTCAAATAATAAAAAATAACATCCATGTGCTGTCGAAAATAAAAACAGCTGTCAAGCATGAAGAAAGATACAAAAAAATAAATGAAAATGTAGCTAATAAAATAAAAGTCAACATATAAGTGAAACAATATAAACAAGCATAACAACAGAGAATTGTCTGTCAGTATTGTACTTACACTGCTGTCAAGGAAGCATCCTGTCTCATTAATATGATAGAACCAATTTTTGTCGGTCACAGAAGCGACGTTGAAATCAAACGGTGTTGGCAACTTTCTGCTCTTTACCTTACAATAATTGTACCTGACATAATACAAAACATTTATTAGTAGGGTATATAACAACAATTATTACAATTTTGTAACAAATATATGTCTGGTATATTGGGACAGTATATATATATAAACACTGTAACTGGTAGATTTGTGTATATGTTTACCATAAAATACACCAGAAATATACCAGTGATTGTGTTATAATTACCTAAAAAATATACAGTTATTGTGTTATTTTTACCAAAAATATACCAGACATATACCAAAATGCTGCTGGGAGCTAACAAAACATAATATAACATGTTACATTGCATGATATAAAAAATAAGATAATTGTTGCGGTTTACCATACCCGTTTGCGACTTTACGAGGGGCTATTTGGAGCAAGCCTTCAGCAATCCAATCATTGTAGACTCCCGTGTGCACTTTTCCAGATGTAGTTATATCAAAGTCGCCGGCTAGTGGGCGCGAGTGCTGAAGTCGTATTACTGTCTTGATAGAAACATCTGTCTTCAACTTTTTTCTTGATTTTGTGGTTTTCTTCACAACATCTACCTTGGGATCATACACCACCATAGCATTTTTTTCTCGTGCGTCGGCTTGCACTTCATTCAATCTATTCCCAGCTACATCCTCCTGCTCCTCCTGCACAGGTCCTCGATTAACTGCCTTTCCAGCTTTAATCTACTCTACAGGTTCTGAAATCACTGCCTCTTCCATTACATTCTTACCGACAGGTCCGGTATTCAATCTCTCTTCATCTACATTCTTCTGCACATGTCCGTACTGAATTGTGTGGCGAAAAAAATTAAAAAACAGACAATTAATATTGCAATTAAAGAATAATTCAGGATATAAAAAAAATAAAATAAAATCAAGTGATGAATATTACATTATTTTGCTGATCTGGAATAACTTTTTTTTGTGGTGGTGTCGGTGGTAGACCAACAGTTATAGCATCAAACGACGGCTGTGATCCATTCAATGCATAACCAAAGATGGGGTGTGGCTCGTAGGTGAACCCTCTCTGCATACCAAAAACAAATATTTATAAGATTTTGTATAAATTTTCGACATGTTTAATAATATGTGCTTATATGGCTAACATATACTTAATTACACCGGGTGTATTTTTACCGGTGCTTTTCACTTGGATGATTCATTCAACTTTTCTTGCAAAGTATGGTCAATTTCCTCTAAAAATTGGGTGTTAATCAAAGGAAATGGGCCGTCATCGTCGGCACCACTTGGTACATGGACATCGGGTTCGGGTACATTTTGAAATGGTACATGGCTACCAGGCTGTGGCAAAGTTTGTACTGGTACAAACTAACAAAAAAGAAATAAAGTAATAATAAAAATGAAATGTGGAACATTTAATGACATGTGAAGTTGGGGATATTTTGTAACATGATATGCTTACTTTGTCTGCTTTGCTCTTCATAAGTGCTTCAGATTTTGTTCTGAAGCCTCTGACGGGAGACTTGACACTCGTCTGTTTTTTATTAAAAGGAAGATATAAACAAAGAAACTCGTGCTTCATATACGTTTAAAAAAATTAAAAAAGATAATGGTACCTCATTTGTAGTCTCAACATTAACATCTGATGGCTTCTGGAAAGGCTATACATATTAAAAAAAAAAAACATTTACACAATGTCATAAAATAAGTATTAAAAAACTAACATATGACTGAAAATAAACCTTGCATATCCTTGAGCCGAAATAAAATTGTTATGAAAAACATAATTATCATTCAACTAAGCATTTTAGGTACAAGTTCTGATTAATATACTGGAAATATACTAGATAACTCAGACATCCAATTAGAAACCAAGGTGTTCTGACAAAAATAGTGTATTATTAACTAAAATGTCATGCAAATAAAACCTTGAATATATTAGAAAGTTGTGCTACAATATACCTTAATATTGCAATAGAATTATATGACAAAATAATTAAACTTTTAAATACTATTATTGCAATAAGAACACTGAATATACAGAAAATATACTACATTTGTAGTGAAAACAAACACTGAATATACAGAAAACCTAATTTGATAGAGCTGTTAACTAAAAATGTGATATTGACAATAAATATCAATATCGAGAAAACAAACCGTCTCTTTTTCAGCTGAAATGTGAATATTATGATCAGGCATTTCATTCACATCACGAAATTCGGTCGTGTTTCCTCTGTCTGTGTGATGTTCTTTACTTGAACCATCCTGATGTATCATGTAAATGTTATGAAATGAACATACAGTACACAAAATGAATATACAGTCCACCAAACACAATTTAAATAAAAAAATATACATGACTGCAAATCACAATAGCACTATGATATATGCACCAGTAAATAAACTTAAATATAATAGACATATAGTCCACACATTTTAATTACAAGAATTGCATTAAAAAAAATACCCAAACACATAAAAAAACATATCCAACATATACTTGAATTTTACTAACATATACTAGCATACTTATAAGAATTGCATAAACAATTACCAAACACATAAATCAATGTGTGATAGTTGAACACATATATCGTACGTGCAGCACAACTTCAATAACAACAAATTCAATGGAGATAACATTGACTTACAATGAATTTTTCTCTGAACAACTCAAATTCGGCCATAACACGCCTCGAGAAGTCGAAAAAGGCTTGTTTCAAGCTCTCGAGTTCAGCGCTGATTGAGTCGAGACGTTTTATAACATCAACATCGTTGGAAAGCTGAGTAGTGGGGCTTGATGCAATCACATTCCGAGTCAACTCATTTTTTTGTTTGAAAAATGAGTCCAACGAAAATGTATGTTTCTCCTCCTCGGTAGGAACAATGTTTTTAAACTGTGCAATAGAACAAAAAAAGAAAAAAAAAAAAGGAAGAGAGATTAGAAAAAACAAATAAATTTACTAATAAAAATACTTAACTATGACTGACATATACTCTCATCAGATAAAAAGGCAAAAGGAAAGTATTAACAGAACTTTCTTCTGATATCAATATACTTGAAATATACTATTTGTTCAAGTTCTGATGAAAATACTATCTGCTCAAGTTCTGTTCAAGTACTGTTCAAGTTCTGATCATACACATTAACAAGGAAAGTTGTTACAAAAAAGCTTATCGACAACGAAATCAATAAAAATAACAAAACAGTAACAATTACTTTGGTGTTGGGTAGATTTAAGAAGGTCCTCTGCAGAAAAAGGCGGTTGTAACTGTCACGAACTTCCCATTTCAATATCCTAGGTATATCATGTTCACCAACAGAGGTGCATATTACACCTTCAGCAGTGTCGCAAACCTCGTAGAACCACGTCTGGAGAGCCAAGATAAGGCCATAACACCTGTACAGAGTGAGAGATGATCTATGAGAGATGATCTATGATTTATGCGGGACATTCAGAAAGCCAAAACGAACTTCATCAGGCAAGGTACCGGGTGATTCATCGTCACTCTCATACCCATTAGTCTTTTTCATTAGACCATGAGTGTATAGCAGATATCCATATCTATGCCTATGGACAGTAGCATCAATCTTCAATTTGGTAATGTCATGACCGACAATGAAATACTCGGCAAATGATGCAACATATATCCCGCAGTCGCTGCCAAGAATAGTAATAATTAAATCTAAATTTTAACAACTATAAGATCGAATTGCTAAATAAAAGTAGTTAAAACGAAATTGGCAAATAAACATAATTGAATTCATTTAGGTTACCTATTTAGCTGCCGGGGGACATTATCCACCATAACAACCTCAAGTGGACCGTGCACTGCTTTCTTGGGAAACCTCACCAAGTCAAGGAAAATGGGGATAAGCTCAACGTACGCCTTCACATTCTCCATAACAAGATTATCACAATTTTGTGTGCGAATTGAATTGTAGATTCGAAGTTTCATATCATCAAATAACAAGAGACCCATAATCCAATGACCGACATTATTTATTTTCAAATGAATCAGAAATATGACATGATCAACCTTAAACCAGGAAAGTTCACATATAATCTTATATCCCGTGATGTAGTCAATGATCATGTCGTCTATCGTGCATATAGAAAGGTTACGAGATCGAGACAAAAAAGACGTGTACAATGACTTGATGTGTTGGTCGAACAACACATCTGTCGTTGTGTACCTGACTGCGGTGCTCCCATATAGGACAAACTTCCTCAAATAATAAAAAATAACATCCATGTGCTGTCGAAAATAAAAACAACTGTCAAGCATGAAGAAAGATAAAAAAAAAATAAATGAAAATGTAGCTAATAAAATAAAAGTCAGCATATAAGTGAAACAATATAAACAAGCATAACAGCAGAGAATTGTCTGTCAGTATTGTACTTACACTACTGTCGAGGAAGCATCCTGTCTCATTAATATGATAGAACCAATTTTTGTCGGTCACAGAAGCGACGTTGAAATCAAACGGTGTTGGCAACTTTCTGCTCTTTACCTTACAATAATTGTACCTGACATAATATAAAACATTTATTAGTAGGGTATATAACAACAATTATTATAATTTTGTAACAAATATATGTCTGGTATATTGGGACAGTATATATATATAAACACTGTAACTGGTAGATTTGTGTATATGTTTACCATAAAATATACCAGAAATATACCAGTGATTGTGTTACATTTACCTAAAAAATATACAGTTATTGTGTTATTTTTACCAAAAATATACCAGACATATGCCAAAATGCTGCTGGGAGCTAACAAAACATAATATAACATGTTACATTGCATGATATAAAAAATAAGATAATTGTTGCGGTTTCCCATACCCGTTTGCGACTTTACGAGGGGCTATTTGGAGCAAGCCTTCAACAATCCAATCATTGTAGACTCCCGTGTGCACTTTTCCAGATGTAGTTATATCAAAGTCGCCGGCTAGTGGGCGCGAATGCTGAAGTCGTATTACTGTCTTGATAGAAACATCTGTCTTCAACTTTTTTTCTTGATTTTGTGGTTTTCTTCACAACATCTACCTTGGGATCATACACCACCATAGCATTTTTTTCTCGTGCGTCGAATTGCACTTCATTCAATCCATTCCCAGCTACATACTCCTGCTCCTCCTGCACAAGTCCTCGATTAACTGCCTTTCCAGCTTTAATCTTCTCTACAGGTTCTGAAATCACTGCCTCCTCCATTACATTCTTACCGACAGGTCCGGTATTCAATCTCTCTTCATCTACATTCTTCTGCACATGTCCGGACTGAATTTGTGGCGAAAAAAATTAAAAACAGACAATTAATATTACACTTAAAGAATAATTAAGGATATAAAAAAAATAAAATAAAATCAAGTGATGAATATTACATTATTTTGCTGATCTGGAATAACTTTTTTTTTTGTGGTGGTGTCGGTGGTAGACCAGCAGTTATAGCATCAAACGACGGCTGTGATCCATTCAATGCATAACCAAAGATGGGGTGTGGCTCATAGGTGAACCCTCTCTGCATACCAAAAACAAATATTTATAAGATTTTGTATAAATTTCGACATGTTTAATAATATGTGCTTATATGGCTAACATATACTTAATTACACCGGGTATATTTCTACCGGTGCTTTTCCCTTGGATGATTCATTCAACTTTTCTTGCAAAGTCTGGTCAATTTCCTCTAAAAATTGGGTGTTAATCAAAGGAAATGGGTCGTCATCGTCGGCACCACTTGGTACATGGACATCGGGTTCGGGTACATTTTGAACTGGTACATGGCTACCAGGCTGTGGCAAAGTTTGTACTGGTACAAACTAACAATAAAGAAACAAAGTAATAATAAAAATGAAATGTGGGACATTTAATGACATGTGAAGTTGGGGATATTTTGTAACATGATATGCTTACTTTGTCTGCTTTGCTCTTCATAAGTGCTTCAGATTTTGTTCTGAAGCCTCTGACGGGAGACTTGACACTCGTCTGTTTTTTATTAAAAGGAAGATATAAACAAAGAAACTCGTGCTTCATATACGTTTAAAAAAATTAAAAAAAGATAATGATACCTCATTTGTAGTCTCAACATTAACATCTGATGGCTTCTGGAAAGGCTATACATATTAAAAAAAAAAAAACATTTACACAATGTCATAAAATAAGTATTAAAAAACTAACATATGACTGAAAATAAACCTTGCATATCCTTGAGCCGAAATAAAATTGTTATGAAAACATAATTATCATTCAACTAAGCATTTTAGGTACTAGTTCTGATTAATATACTGGAAATATACTAGAAAACTCAGACATCCAATTAGAAACCAAGGTGTTCTGACAAAAATAGTGTATTATTAACTAAAATATCATGCAAATAAAACCTTGAATATATTAGAAAGTTGTGCTACAATATACCTTAATATTGCAATAGAATTATATGACAAAATAATTAAACTTTTAAATACTATTATTACAATAAGAACACTGAATATACAGAAAATATACTACATTTGTAGTGAACACAAACACTGAATATACAGAAAACCTAATTTGATAGAGCTGTTAACTAAAAATGTGATATTGACAATAAATATTAATATCGAGAAAACAAACCGTCTCATTTTCAGCTGAAATGTGAATATTATGATCAGGCATTTCATTCACATCACGAAATTCGGTCGTGTTTCCTCTGTCTGTGTGATGTTCTTTACTTGAACCATCCTGATGTATCTTGTAAATGTTATGAAATGAACATACAGTACACAAAATGAATGTACAGTCCACCAAACACAATTTAAATCAAAAAATATACTTGACTGCAAATCACAATAGCACTATGATATATGCACCAGTAAATAAACTTAAATATAATAAACATATAGTCCACACATTTTAATTACAAGAATTGCATTAAAAAAATACCCAAACACATAAAAAAACATATCCAACATATACTTGAATTTTACTAACATATACTAGCATACTTATAAGAATTGCATAAACAATTACCAAACACATAAATCAATGTGTGATAGCTGAACACATATATCGTACGTGCAACACAACTTCAATAACCACAAATTCAATGGAGATAACATTGACTTACAATGAATTTTTCTCTGAACAACTCAAATTCGGCGATAACACGCCTCGAGAACTCGAAAAAGGCTTGTTTCAAGCTCTCGAGTTCAGCGCTGATTGAGTCGAGACGTTTTATAACATCAACATCGTTGGAAAGCTGAGTAGTGGGGCTTGATGCAATCTCATTCCGAGTCAACTCATTTTTTTGTTTGAAAAATGAGTCCAACGAAAATGTATGTTTCTCCTCCTCGGTAGGAACAATGTTTTTAAACTGTGCAATAGAAA